AAAGCTACTTACTGTATATGACATGTGATTGAGGTACTTCTCAAAACAAATCTTTGCATTGGAGACTTACATATGTGAGACTGATAAGTTTAACAAAAATGAAGTGTTTTGCGTGCTTAGGATGTTTATTCCCTGTTCTGTCCAACTTAAGCCTAAACCAGTGATGGTGAGCCTTGTAGAACTTTCAGTGATAAAAACAACCTGTTAGAAGCCAGGCATGGTGACACACACCTATAATCCCAGCATTTGGGAGGCTGAGGCAGGAAGATTGCTGTGAGTTCAAGATTAGTCTGGGCCACAAAGTGAACTCTAGGCCAGCTTGAACTATATAGTGAGACCCTGTTTCAAAAAGACAAAATAAAAATAAAAATAAATAAAATAAAAAAACTTACTAAGTGAACCTTGCATTCCACATTTTCAGGGGGCCGGGGAGATGGCTCAGTGGAATAAGTGCTTCCCTGGCAAGTGCAACGGCCTGAGTTCAATCCCCGGTTCTGCCAAAAATAAAAATAAAAATAAATAAAAAACAAAAAGACAAAATGAAATAAAAATGAGAATAGGCTGCTATGCACAAGTGTTGCTACCCTGCCTAGATCCTTGGAGCCAGAGACAGTGGATAGCAGAGATAAATGACATAATATACAACCACAAATCATGCCTTGCTGATTTGCAGCATCTAGCTTATTGGCAAAAGCTATTAGGGAAAATTGGATGACCTTAGATTTCATTTTTCTCTTTTTTTTTTTTTTTTTTGAGACAGTCATTTCTTAAGTTGGTATTAAACTCACTCTGTAGCTTAATCTGGCCTTGAATTTACAATCCTCTTGCCTTAGCCCCTGAGCACTGGGTTTACAGGTGTCCACCATACCTGGCTCTGCTTGTTTTCTGAAATGAGGGTAAAAGAAGCTCCTGAGGCAATGAGAGAGGGTAATAGTACTCAGGTGAAGCATGTGGAAAACCAAGTTTGAGGACATTGTGATCTAGTTGTACTTTATTTTGTACTTCTAATAATTACAGAATTTCATTTTTCAAGAATTGCTTGCTAAAATGGGGGCAATATGGGTAGCAGTTTTCTAACATCAGCTTTTGCTTATGCACTCCTACTATAAATTAATGCAGGTAACTGTTGCTCACATCAATGCTACTGCAAAGAATGCTGCTGATGACAAACTCCGACAGAGTCTGCGAAGGTTTGCAAATACTCACACTGCTCCAGCCACTGTGGTTCTTGTGTCAAGTAAGTGACGCCTGCTGATGTCAGCTAAACTCACTGTGTAGAAGTTATAAAATGAAAAACACATGAAAGCAAAGCATGGGGCTGGGGAAATGGCTCAGCAGCATAAGTGCCTGACTGGCAAGTGTAAGGTCCTGAGTTTGACCCCTAATACCACAAAAAAAAAGTACAGTTAGCCCAGCCAAATGGCTCAGCAGATTAAAGCACCTGCAAGCAGGTGCAGGGGCTAGGGATTCGATCCCTAGGCCTGCCGTGCTGGCCCCTCCCCCAGGGTACACTGAGAAGGCAGTTGAGACTGGGCATGGTGGTACGCACGTGTAATCCCAGCTCTTGGGATGTAAACAGGTGGATCACGATTAGTCCGTTCTAGTAATGAGACCCTGAATACCCTGTAGACCCTTCTTAAAATACAAAAAAAAAAAAAAAAAAGCAAAGTGTGCCCCTAAAGAAGTTGCATACATGGGACATATTGATGCTTATTGGTGAGAATTATTTAGGAAAATAATTGAGCCTATGTGAATCTGTATCTTTCTCATGGGACCTGAGTTATTATCAAAGAAAATATAATTTTAAATTAAAGATAATGTGATTTGGTGTTTTTGGGGTTTTCACCCTGGACTCACCAAGTATTACTAACTTTAAAAGTCCAATATGAGGGGCTGGAGAGATGGCTCAGTGGTCTAAAGCACCTACTTGGAA